CCAGTAGAAATGGGGCAGCCACCCTGCCAGTGTTAGCTGCTGGCGGGGCGCCCCCGCTGTCTTTCCCTGCACCCCACAGTGTCGGCGATTGCAGCTCTCTGTGGCCGTGGATCGCTGTTCCCGGACAATGGGAGCGGTGGGGAGTGGTGTCCCAGAACACATCACTTCCCGTCGCTCCCGTTGTCCGGGATCGGCGATGGGCAGCCAACGAGAGCTGCGATGGCCCAGCCTGCGGAGGCGCAGGGAAAGGCATTGGTGGGGACCCATGGGACTGTAGCTGGCACACCGGACACGCCTTCGCTCAGACACTTTGTGGGGTGGGTTTGGAGGAGACTCGGAGACCGGGGGATGGGCTCAGCCCTCCAGGCAGCGGGAGGGGAGTTGGGAAGTCAGCTCATCCGACCCACAGTGGAAAGAAAGGAGGGGCAGGGTGAGGTAGCGGGAGCTCTCGGGGCAGGGCGTGTCCCTTCCTCTGTGTCCATGGCACACCCGGCACCAAGAGAACACTGGGGCACTACTCAGCACAGACACGACACCGGCTGGAATAGTGACACTCGTGTCGGGTTCTGCCGTGAGCACGACCCCATTGGTGGCATTGGCGGGAGAACTTACAGCAACAAATGCTTCTTTGGCAGAGCAGCCAAGTAAACACACACTGAATAACCTATTAATTAACAGTCGTAACACAATTCAGTCCCCTGCCTGCACCCATCTGTCTGGAACTCCTGCAGGCTCAGTCAACTTAGTCAAATTTTTCATATCAGCAAAATGACTCCAGTTATTTGACATAATGGGCCTTTAGATCAGAATATAAGAACGGCTACACTGGGTCAGACCAAAGGTCCATCTATCCCAGTGTCCTGGCTGCCCACAGTGGCCAATGCCAGGTGCCCCAGAGGGAGTGAACAGAGCAGAAAACCATCAAGGGATCCGTCTCCGTCACCCATTCCCAGCCTCTGACAAACAGAGAGAAGAGGCAGCATTTGATGGAGCTATCTTCCATGAATGTATCTAGCTTTTTTTGTGGGGGGAACCCTGTTAGTGTCTTGACCTTCACAACATCCTCTGGCAAGGAGTTCCACAGGTTCCCTGTGTGCTGAGTGAAGAAATACATCATTCTGAGGTGCGTTAGCCGGAGTGTTGTAAGCGAGACACTTCCTGCTAATATTTCCGTGCTGCCTAGGAAGCTGTGTGCTGTGTCTGACACAGGGAGGAACATTTTTAACTGACTTTCCCACCAACATTTCCCTTCATGGTGTCATTTCTCTCTGGGTTTTGTTCTAGATGCTGCTGGCCAGCCTGGTGAGGTAAGTTGAACTCCTCTTTGTTCATGAAGAGCCCTGTTTCCCCGGTCTCTGGGTTGTAGCATCACAAGGACCATGATTTCTGGGTTAGCCACGTGCTAGAACTCAGAAGTCAGAGCGGGAGCAGACTCTGCTCTGTGCCCTACCGAGGGGAGAGGTGAATCTCTGGAGCTGAGCACCTCTGGGTACGTTGCACTGGAACAAGGCACCCAAGGCCTGGGCATCCCTTGACTGAGTCAACTGACTTGAGTTGACAGCTCTTGGACTCCAGGACTAACGATTCCTGGGCTCTGGGACCCTCCCCCCTTGTGGGGCACCACAGATTGTGCAGCCCAAGCCCAAGTCAGCTGACCTGAGCTAGCCAGGGGTGTCTGACGGCAGGGGAGACACGAGCCACGTGGGCCGAGGGGCGGATCCCAGGCGCTGTTGCCCAGGGCAGGCGGGGATGGGCCTGTGGGAAGAGCAGGGAGCGACTCTGAGACACAGCAGGGGAGGGGAAGGTCTCACTCACAAGAGCATGAAGGCTGAAGGCGATGCCCCTGCGCTCACACAACGTGTGACGAGGGCTCTGCAGGGTCTCTTGCACCAGGGAGAGGGCTCAGCTCTGCCGGCCAGCGAGAGGGGACCTGGGCGGTCAGTCAGTCAAAAATCAGCAGAGACGGGTGTGACGGCGCTTTGGGATTTCCCGTCTCTCCAGCCAGTAAAATAGAGGGAGTTTATTGCTTCTCCAGGATACAGCACAGCACAGATGGAATCTGGTTCCAGGGCAGGCCTAGGATGCCTCAGCCCCCCTTCAGATTGGGGAGCCTGGGCCCCTAAATCGCAGCCCATTGCCTAGGCTGCTTCCTCCATGAAACCAGCCAGAAACCAAACTCCCTCACTTCCAGCCCTGCCCCCAGCCAGGGCTCCCCTCCCCTTCTTCCCATTGTTTCGCTCCCTGGGAGATGACTGGTCAGACAGGTTCGAAGCCCCCTTGCATAATGACTCATCCCCTGCCCTGCTGGGCCGTGCTGCAGACAGCAGCCGGGGGGGTCACTCACAGCCCAAGCCTAGCAACCAGCAAGGGACCCCCACTATGTCACAACAGGGCAGAGGGTTAGATTCCATGAGCTCCTAGGGGCAGGCGCTGTCCCTTCCCTGTGTTCAGAGATCCCCCAGCCCCAGGGAAGGGGGAAACGTCGAGGCCCCACTGCAATGCAGGCAAGAACGCTAAGAGCAATGCTGATGTTTCTGCAGGGTTTCTGCAGTGAATACAAAAAGCCTCCGTCAGCCTGCGACAAGAGGTACGACCCTGTCTGTGGCAGTGATAGCACCACGTACAGCAACAAATGCACCTTTTGCATGGCAGTCTTGTAAGTAACTGGAAAACGGCCCCTTTCCAAAAACTCAATTGCAGCTGTTCCGTCCCGCACGGCCCTGCCTGCGCCCCTCGGCCTGGAGCCTGGGGCAGGTGTGTGTCCAGTGCTCCTGCCCTGGTGACTGAGCCGAATGTGGCCTTGAAAGACGTTTTGGCCTCCTTGCTCATAAGGTGACAGCCCTGCGCTCTGTGTCTCTCTCCCTGCAGCAAGCAGCTCGGCAGCCTTTGCTTCGCGCACAATGGAGAATGCAGATTCCTCGGCGCCCAGCGCTGACAGGAGCTGAGCCCCGTGTGCTGTTCGCTCCCCCAAGCAGAGCCCCGCACGGAGCCACCTTCCCACCCCACCTCCACGGCCTGGCCCCACAATAAAGGAAACTCAGCCTTGTCCGTTGCCTCAGTGGTTTTTCCGCTCTCCTAGAAGGGGCTCTGCTCTGCGGCTTCCAGCCAGGGTTGGCGGAGCACAACGCGCAGTGACCAGTGACAGGAAGGAAACGGCTCCACCGTTGGGAGTTCCCTGCTTCCATCGCCCTGCGGAGACGTTCCAGCCGTGGGCGCGCGGCCTGGGCTGGTCCCCGTGGGGTTCAGCTCCCCGAGGCAGCAGGCACTGAGCGGGGCGGGGGCGGGAGGTGCAGCCGGAACGGCTCGGGGGCCCTGCTTGGACTTCCCCACTGACAGGGGCCTGAAGCGAAGCGGGAGGTGGGGGTGTCAAACCCTCTTTCACTAGTTACCTGGTTAAACATGAGAGTGAACCAGTTAACGGATTCACGGGGGCGGGGGACACTCCAGCACGGCTGGGCTTGAGCGGCCCACGTGCCCACCCTGCCGTGGGCGGGGGCTGCTTTTTATGTATTGATTTTATTTCAATATGTTCACTCCGCCTTTCTCTTTAAAATAGTCAAGGCTGCTTACAAAAACAACCCCAAAAATACAAAGATATATGCACATTCAAAGTATGAACAGTTAAAATATGAGACCCCAGAGGGGCATAACCAGCTAAAAACACAGAGCGGAGGAACACACATCCACAACTGCTTTTGGGGGGGTTCCCCCTCACGTGTCTCTCCTAAAGGAAGTGACCAGGCTCTGAGGTCGGCTGGTCGCGGCCCATCCCCCTGCCTGCGCAATAAAGGAAACTCAGCGGAGTCCGTTACCTCGGAGAACATCCCGAGGAAGAGAATTCCACAGCCTGGGCGCAGAAGCTGAGAATGCCCTGTTCCACGGAGATGTTAATCTTTGTGGCCCCTGCCCACAGTGGGCCCACGCCAGATTTGCCACGGGCCGGGCGCTGCTCCACCCCCTGCAGTTTCCTGGTTATCCTCTTAGATCCCTCTTTGGAGGTCTGGCCGAACGGCCTCTGCCAGGTCTCGCTGAGGAAGGGGGGGACACCCGGCGACTGGCGACTGCTTTGGGGGGGGGTTCCCCCTCACGTGTCTCTCCTAAAGGAAGTGACCAGGCTCTGAGGTCGGCTGGTCGCGGCCCATCCCCCTGCCTGCGCAATAAAGGAAACTCAGCGGAGTCCGTTACCTCGGTGGTTTTTCCGCTCTCCTAGAAGGGGCTCTGCTCTCCAGGGTCTCTCACAGGCTCTGCCCAGCTTCCAGCCAGGGCTGGCGGAGCAGGACGGGCAGTGACCAGTGACAGGAAGCAAACGGCTCCACCGTTGGGAGTTCCCTGCAGCCAGCCCCCCTGCTAGCGACCTGCATGTGCAACCACCGGGCACGTTCCCAGTGTCTGGCTCCCTCTCCGAGTGCTAGTGATGGGCCAAGTCAGGAGTCCCTGAGCAAAGCTGCAGCAAGAGGCCGTGGGAACCCCTCCGGGGAGCGGGGCAAAACCTGCTCCCGGAAATGGGCTGGGTTGCAGGACTGTCCTCTTGGCCCTGCCCCTCCGGTCCTGCTGAGGATGCTCCAGCCAGAGACGGGATTGGAAAGGGGCCCATGCGGCTCGGGGGCGGTGAGGCCGGGCAGAACAGAGCTACCCTGCGGGCTCCCACCAGAGAGGCTGGACAAAGCTTTCCGAAGGGGCGGGCAGTTTGGGTTCCGTTTCCTTTCTCCTCCCAAGGAAGGTGGCACAGAGGGCCGCTCCTGGAGGCCAAATGCTGCTGCTGTTCCTCCGAGGGCAGTGCCCTACCACTGCCCCACCACCGAGCGGACACTAACCACTAGGCTCTGGGCCCACCGAGGACCCATTGCAGGTTCTAACCCAGACAAAGGTGGGGCCTTGCCTGCTTGTGAGGGCAGAGCTGTGCATGGCTTGTCCTTCTCCTGCCCTGGGAGCCCTTGTGCCCACGTGGATCCAGGCAGGGTTCCTCCCATGACCTCCCCCTGCCCAGAGACCCAGGAGGTGCATGCTCTGACTTTCTCCTCCACAGGGTCTGCACTGCCCAATTGGTTGGATCCTAAATAGCGCTCGGACCTTCGCAAGCGAGTCCAGCAGCACGCAGGCTGGGCCCCGAGTCAAAGCTGAGCTAAACATTCCTCCAAAGTGGCCCAGAGCGGGGCTGAATAGCTGGGCTGTCAGGAGGTGAGACCCAAAGCCAAGGGCTTCTCCCAAGAGCAGGCTGGCTGGAGAGAAGGGCTGGATCTCATGTCGGGCCGAGCAGGGAACTGGGCACAGATCCCAGGAGCCACCGGGAGCTACCGGGTTAGCGCCTCCCCCGAGTCCTGGCGGTTTAATGGTTCCGCATCAGCTGGACACAGCAGCAGCTCCCCTGCACACAGGGCTCTCCAGCTGCCGTATCAAGTCCTATGTCCCCCTCATCAGTGCAGCTGCCGCAGGGCGCACAGCTGGGGAAAAGCATGAACTGAAGTCCTGGAGTCTCAGGACACTGCAAATAGCTTGTTGGGGTCACAGGCCACTGGAATCAGCTTGAGTGGCCCGCAGGTTCCTCCCGACTGAGCCAGGCACCGGCTCTGTTCACAATGCTGGAAGATCAGGACAACATCAAAGTCACCGGCGGCCAGTTCTGCCCCCGCTGCTGGGCCCTGCAGCAGAATCTGGCTCCAAGAGGCTGGGAACACAGACCTGGCAACAAGGATAACCTCCTTCCCCTGCCTTCGGTAGGATTTGCACAAGGCAGGAATCCTTCGTTCCACATTTGACACTCCCCAGCGTCCCATGGAAAATTACAGAAATCAAGATGGCTCCCAGTATCAGGTGACATGGTCACAGGGGGTGCGTCTATCCAGCACCAAAACTCGAAATAAAATCCACAATTTGAGCTAAGCAAATTGCATATCCTATTTCAGTGCTATTTCGAAATAGCTGATTTTGTTACTTGGTGTTGTGTCCACAGCGCCAAATTTTGAAATAAAGCGCTATTCCGAAACGTCCCTTACTCCTCGTACAATGAGGGTCACAGGGACATCGGAATAGCAAGCCCAAAATAACGGGCTTGCCGTGAAGACTTGGGATAGCTATTTTGGGACGCTCCGGTATCCAGAAATAGCGTTGCAGTGTAGATACACCCAGAGTTTTGCAGAGCCAGTTACCAATTTTAGGCCTTGTCTTCACTGGCATGTTTTGTCACCAAAAAGTCCCTTTTGAAAATTAAACAGTGAGAGTGTTTACACTGCACTGTCGCTTTTGTCAGCAAATACACCCAGTTACGGGGTCAAAAAACGTCCAGCTCTGCCAGAGACTTTTCATGGAATCACAGCACAGTTGAAATGGAAGGGACCTAGAAAGTCGTCAGGTCCAGTCCCCACCCTCACCCCAGGTCCAAGCGCCATCAAGACCATCCCTCCCTGGCTTCTTCCAAGCTGGCCAGGTGTGTCTTTGGCCTCCAGAGGTCCATTGCTCCCTGGAGCTTTGCTCATTAGCATGTCCACGGGAAAACATTCCTGGCCCATTGCTCTGCCTCAGACCGAGAATCTTTCAGCATCAACACAGAGTCCATATTTATAAACTTCACACCCAGACATTACACAGGTATATGAAGAGCAGATACAGAACCCGTAGACAGAAAGCTCTCGTTTGACACCTCACATTGCCCCCTTTGTACCAACCCTTTGCTCATTAGCATGTCCACGGGAAAACATTCCTGGCCCATTGCTCTGCCTCAGACCGAGAATCTTTCAGCATCAACACAGAGTCCATATTTATAAACTTCACACCCAGACATTACACAGGTATATGAAGAGCAGATACAGAACCCGTAGACAGAAAGCTCTCGTTTGACACCTCACATTGCCCCCTTTGTACCAACCGCCCCCCT